GAGCGTCTAGCATTTCCTCCTGCTGCGGAAGCACCGTTTACTTCCCTGGCAGAAAAAATCGAGCTACTAAAGATTACTCGCTATATTACCAAAGATATGCTAGATAAAAAGGTGAGGCAGTCGGTTGCTTGCAAGCAGAGCTGCCATAAATTATTGCAAAATTATGGAAAACATATCTGATTTCTCTAGCTAAAACATTGATAATTGCATGATTATCAAATGATATGAAAGATATAATTTATAGCAAATGTTTCGTATTTTGAGAAATTTCTATTTGGGTTTTTTAAATATGACCCAAATAATTATATCTCTGTTATAAAAATTTAAACAATTATCTGTCAAAGAAAAAAATTTTAAATAATATTGTTGTTAGTTAATGGCAATAATTAATGGTAACCCATTGCTAGCTTGCTTACTGATATTATCTCTGCTGTTTGGACTAGTTTGATAAATCAACATTGAGGGGGCTTTTCTTCTCTTTCATTCTGGTTGCCTTATAATTCCTTCATCCATTCATGATGTTACGCCTGATATGCAACAATTCTTTCTCCATCGTATGGAAATGCAATCGCAACATGCCAATGTCGACTACGCCACAGGTACGACATTTTCGGCTATCCTGGTACCCTGTCAAAGCGAGAGCAATATCACGTTCTATATATTAATAGCGCATTTGTTTGTTTGTTTGTAGATAGCGGAGGAAGTCGCCAAGTTATTGGATCTGAAAGCGCAATTGGGGGAAGAAAATGGTTGTTCTCACAAACTCATCCTCAAAACGCCTAAAGGCACGAGGGATTATAATCCAGAGCAAATGGCACTACGATTGGGAGTATTGGAAAAAATAATATCAGTATTCAAACGTCACGGCGCAGAGACCATAGATACGCCTGTATTCGAGCTAAAGGTGAAAATTATTATCAATGATAGTTACTAATAATTATGATCATATTGGTATCTATACTGATTGATACTGATTTTATTTGTTGTTGCGCAGGATGTTTTGACAGGTAAATATGGTGAAGATTCCAAGCTCATTTATGATTTGAAGGATCAAGGTGGTGAGATTCTCGCACTTAGATATGATTTAACAGTTCCTTTCGCGAGGTATCTGGCCATGAGCAAAATATCCTCCATTAAAAGATATCATATTGCTAAGGTCTACCGAAGAGATAATCCAGCTACAACAAAAGGCAGATATAGAGAATTTTATCAATGTGTAAGCATATATGCTAGAATTACCCTTCACATATATTTTGTGTATGTTTTAATTGATGTCAATACTTTTTCAAGGATTTTGATATTGCCGGCCAGTATGATCCGATGTTACCGGATGTAGAATGTATTCGGGTCGTGTCCGAAGCATTGCAAGTGCTAGATCTGGGACCATACATGATTAAATTGAATCACAGGTCTTTGCTGGATGGCATCTTTGCTGCGTGTGGTGTTCCACAGAGCAAATTCCGCAGTATCTGCTCCGCTATAGATAAACTGGATAAAAGTCCATGGGAGGAAGTGAAAAAAGAAATGATAGATGAAAAGGGATTAGACGAGCATATCGCCGATAAGGTCGGCAACTATGTCTCCCAATCTGGTGGAGTCGAATTGATAGCCGAATTGAGAAAAGACAAAGAATTAATGAGACAATCTGCTGCTGTACAAGGCTTAGATTCCATGGAACTATTGTTGAAGTACTGCGGTATCTACAAAGTTCTGGACAAAATTAAGTTTGATCTGAGTCTTGCAAGAGGACTCGATTATTACACAGGCATTATTTACGAAGCTATATTGTGTGGTATGCATATATATATCAATCTTTGTAAATGTCTTTTTGTATTATATGAAACATTTGTATATCGCAAAATAATTCTGGCAAAATATCAATATAACATTCAATATAATTTTTCATAGGAGATGACATTGGTGTGGGTAGTGTAGCGGGTGGCGGCCGTTACGATAATTTAGTGGGGATGTTCGACAGTAAGAATAAAAATGTATCTTGCGTCGGTGTGTCCCTGGGCGTGGAACGGATATTTAGCGTTTTAGAGGCGAGATTGGCTAACAAGGGCCTGAAAACACGCACCACCGAGATCGAAGTGTTTGTGGCGAGCGCTCAGAAAAATTTGTACGAAGAAAGAATGAAAATATTGGTGGATTTGTGGGAAGGTGGAGTGAAAGCAGAGCATTCCTACAAGAAGAACGCAAAGCTCTTGGCGCAGTTGCAACACTGCGAGGAAAACAAGATTCCATTAGCAATAATCATCGGAGAAAGTGAACTAGCAAAGGGTGAACTTACGCTGAGAGTCGTTTCGAAACGGGAAGAGATTCGCATACCTCGTAGTAGTCTCGTCGAAGAAATACGAAAGCTGTTAAAAACATTATCGTAGCATGCCGATTACGGTTTCTTCGTATATACGTGCTTCTCACTATCGGGAGAAGAAATCAACATCAGTACAACAAAATATTTATGTTGTATTTTAGTTTTATTTCATGCAACTCGCACACTGGGAAAAATTTATTTATTAAATTTCACTCGAATCTAGTGTATTACTTTATATGACGGACCGTTACCCATCGAGTGATAAGTTCCTTATCACCGATATAGATGCTAATTGTGAAATTATATAATAAGTGAATGCATGAGAAAGTGTGACGACACTCTGCATTCGCGTCATGTGAATATGTCACATGAGTAATTTCCACATGGATAATCTTTCAACCGAATTTTTCCGGATTTTATGATAATAAATCATAATTCATAACTTCCGAGCTACCGAAAAACCAAATATATCTTCATAATTTATTCTGCAAGAACTTGTCAATAAAACATTACGCATTTCGTAAAACATGCCGCACGTTCCTATCTTTATTACATTTAAAAACATTGATTTCAAGATTTAGCGAAATAAATATGATTGCGAGTGACTGTGATAAATGTGCAGGTCACAAGACCGCACTGACAATGTTTGGACTGCGATACGAGATATTAATTACTTCTACCTATGTAACATAAATTTTAACGGATTCCAGATTCAATAGGAAAAATTCTTATATATTCCAGTTATCTATCGATATAATAATTTATTTAATATCAATTTTTTTCTAAGTGGCCTTATTTTACTATTAATTCACACTAAATATTGACAATATGCCATATTCCTTATATCACAGAGTCTTCGATATTTTTAAAAGTTAAAACTTAATCATTTACATATAATAAATTAATTTACTTCTAATAATTATCATTATTAATGTTATCTCTAGTGTTTCATAAAATGTATATCTCTCTCTTCATTTTTCTAAAAAAAATTAATTTAATTAGTTTGAAGAATTAGATATCTTATATATATCAAATAATAAAGTTAATCTTCCACAAAATTGATCAACTTTTTGTAAAATTGCAACTTTTTTAAAAATTGCCCATTAGGTAATCGACGCATAAAATTCATCAATGTATAAAATTATATTTCTTCTACTTGCACAACTTTCCCTTTTTCATATATTAAATGCAGCCTTTCGAGGCGAAATACGGATTTGTCAAGTGCTATATTAGAAAGTTCTCAAAAACTAACAAAATATATAGCATTAATATCATTTCTTATACACATAATATGAAGTCTATTTTTTTTAACAAAAATATTAATTCTATAAATATTGCTTATACTTTAGATTATATTAGTGCCTTAATACTTTCGACAAAAAAAATTGACTCCAAACTTTTCTATTTTTAATTTTTAGGTTCTCCACATAGCCCATAGATCATTTTTTTCTTCATTTCTCATGAGGTTTTTCAACTTTGATTTCGGTCAATTCTGCGTCCTTCGTTTGACCAGATTTTGTCATAACTCTGTATTGCTCGAAAGGATTGATCGCTGGCTTCTCTATCGTTGCTTGTAGCAGTGGTTTGTAAAAATCTATTGGCACACTAGGCTTCTCCTTTCTCGATTCTGGAAAATTTTTGCTACTCGTCGAAAACTTCGCTTCTTGAGGTTCATCTAAATTATCAATTATACACATATGCATATCATTCTGCTTCTCCATTTTAAGTGAAGCGTCCTTGACATCCATATTCCTCTCCTGCACTTCCCTTTGAACTGTCTTATCCAATGTATCATTTATCAATTTCTCATCAGAGGATCTTAATTTATAAACCGGTTCATAAACTGATATAAAATTGCTATTTCCTTGAGAATATCTTCTATCTTCAAGAATGTTTGAAATCCTGGATTCATTCAATTCCGCGGATGGCTCGTCAGAAATCTTGAAGGACAAAGATTTAATCGGAGTTACGTCTTCCTGATTCCTCCACGACGAAATTTGTTCATCTTTCAAATTTTCGGGAGTTACCATAGAATCTTGAAATTTATTTTTCAAAGTCATATTCATCTCCTCTGCCGGTGACTTGATTGTCACTGTCTTCTGATTCGGGTTGCTCAATTTACTAACATCCACAAATTTGTTGGTGGTATCCATGGCGAGGGGGCTAATTGGATTAGTGCTTCTCTCACGTATGTCGGAATAAACATCGCTAAGGCTAAACGCCCTAACGCGACGACGTAAATTCATTTGAGTGATTTGCCGCTGTAGCATACCCGCTTTCCACCTTGGTAACGGTTTTGGCGTGTGTAACGGCGTAGATGTATTCGTTGCACTCGGTTGCGTGCCGAGTTGAGCGGATCTTATGGAGAATCGTCGAGTATTAAACGGCTGCTTAATCGGTGACGAAATTCCTGGTGGTCCCTCCATGTTGACAAGCGGTTCCTTTGGTGATACGGAAATGAAGGGTTCCGTCGAAGTATAAGGTACTTGGAAGTTTCGATCAGTCATTCTCTGAGAAAGTCGTAGCTAAAAAAAGTTTTGGAATTTATTCAATTTATACGCTTACCTTTATATAAAAATTGAAATTTTTCGGAATTCAACAATTATAAAATTTTTAAAACTTGTAAGATACATTTTCTATAGAAACTTAATGGCATAAACTTACCGATGACCGTGGTGATGCATAATCAGGTGGCGTGACAGAATTCACTGGGGTCTTCACCGGTCTCAAAGAGAATCTTCTAGGCTTCACAGCACTGCTTTCCTTCCTCATATAAGACGTAGGTGTGGTGGAGCCGGAATAACCATTCTCAGGCATTTTGAAAGACATTCTTTTGCTCGATTGATGCGAGTTCACATCTGTGACAGTACTCTGATTGCTGTGAGTTACCGAATCTGAACCGGACGTGTTCGAAAACAGAGTGAACAGACTGGGTAGCTTTGGCGGGCTCAGACAAGCCGTCCCTAATTTTCTCTTGGGCTTGGCAATGCATTCGTCGGGAACCGTTCCTACTCTTGCCTGCAGAGCGGTCAATGCTCTAAGGAAATCTGCCAAACTCGTTTCTTCCAACAAATTATTGTTTTCCATATAACTTGGCAGGTTGCAGCCAGTATGTGTATAATAATTCGGCGTTTTCGATATCGAATCGTACCTCTCATCTAAGTATGAAGGTAATTGATCCATCGGACCAATCGAATTATTCTGCCGATTGCTGTCATCCATTGTATCAATGACCTTCTCCGTATTAGGACCGACATCTGATGATTTTTTATTCATAAAGTGTTTTTTCCATCTAGGGAAGAAGTTTTTGGGCGCGGTAATCGGCAAAGCGAATGAAGGGAACTTCTTGTATGGCTTGTTACTATTATTCGAAGATACTGAGGTAATGGTGTTGCGAGTCTTCATCAACTCCTGCAGTTTTGTCGAGGCTACTGGACCGGACCAAGTCCATTCGGTGTTCTGGTGAACATCATCTTTCGCATAGTCTTTGGCATAAAGTCGCATTTCACTGACCGCCCTAGATCGAGGCTTGGCAAACGGAAACTTCTCACCACCGATTGTCCATTGAGTAACGTTGTTGGCCAGGCTCTGATCAACTGGTTTGCTCTGCTGCATTTCGTTCTGCGCATCGTTCTGTTTCAGTTGATCCTCGGTCTCATCCCAGTCGAAATCATCCCGAGGAGGGATGTAACCGAGGATGTTTACTAAACGCGCTAATAATTCCGCCGGTTGCACTATGGCATGTGTGGCAAACGTCGCGTTCTTATCTATCCTTTGAAGATCTGTCTCGGATACCACACGTGTCAGTTGAATCTACATGAATAAAACGTAAATTATTTAAAATATAATATTTAAAAAGAGAGAGATTGTAATATATTACGTTTAATAAGTGTAATATAAAAATACGTCTTAAACGAAAAAATAACATAAATAGTGTGGAAAATTAATCGCATACCGCTGGTACCACTTCGCTGTTAGCTCGTCGTCGCGGATGTGGTATACAATTATCCACATATCCACCAATTGTCAATTTTCGAAGATCCGGGAAACTATTGCTGCGTGAGAATTTCGTCGGAGGTATCTCATAATCGTACTCATCAACGTATATTCTCTGATAAGAAAAATGACAGATGTTGAAAGTAATCAATATTAAATAAACAGCGCGTTTAAGTAATCAATGTGTAATCAATTTCCTTATTGACAATAATATAAAAAAATTTTTGATGATTAACATCTATTAATCCATCACGTTAATTATTAAAAATACTCGAAGTCAGAAAATAAGTATTAAATGTAATTAAAAACGAAATTATATTTAATAAGTAGTGATATACATTCTTATTTTAATTTTCTTAAGAAAACGAGTTTATAAAGATCTGTGAAACATATCTATCTAGGAAGGAACGATAAAATGAAGAAAAATAATAATATTTTTAAGAGGAATGTGCACAGATAAAAATATCTTTACAAGAAATGAAAATATATGCGGTTGCTTAAGAATATCTGGTTCAAGCCAAGGAGGTCACTTACTTTGACCTTAGAGAGCTGTAACTCGTTAAAAACGCGGCGCAGGTAGTTGACCTCTTTGTTAAACTCGTTCCAAATCTTGCTCTGCGTGTGCTTGAGATTCATCGCTAGTTTATGTTCGAGCCTCGTGATTTTTTTGCTACGCATACCGCGAGCGATGAACGTCATGATCATGACGATGTAGCCCAGCCCGAAGGAGATCCAGAAAATTAAGAATATCTTGTACATAATGAAGAATGGGCCACTCCCCTTCGTATCGTCCTGACCTACAAAGTTTAAGCAGAGAGTTGAAAGTAGTGAAATATCTCTTTTCTATTTATTTTTTACTTTTTAAAGCAAGAAAATTGCGTTATTTTTTTTAATTTCCTCGATAAATTTTTTTAATTTCACAAAAGATTATTAAATTTAAAAATATTGGCTTTGAATAGTTTTGATTTGAGTTGTGAAAATATATATTCTAATTATACATTTCATACGAGTATTATTTTCTGATTTCATATTTTATACTTTATTATTAATTGATTGCTGTAAACAAATAACTTTACTTTTTAATTTATGGCGGGCATATTCAGAACTACTTACGTATTAAGATCTGCTTCTCACGTGAGCGTGTAATGATCGAAAATATTTGTCTTTTAAGACAGAACATGTAAGTTCGTAGATTGTCTCGATTGATACATGTGATAAGAAAAAGAGAGAGAAAGAGGGAGAGAATACAAGTATATACTGTATCGATACTGTTAATCAAAAAAGCTAACGAAATTTATCAAATATTATACTCTCAAGTGGTCCGGTATCATTAAATCAAACCAAATCAAATCGATGTTTATAATTCTAAATTTTATATTATACTTGTCACCGAGAATAAATGTTTCGTACAATGTTTCGTATAATAAATCTATATAATATATCAATATAATAAATCTATGTAATATATCTCTCTAGTCTTTTATCGAAAATAAATTAAATATTGATCTTAATTTCTTAAAATTTCAGAATATCTAACGTCTTAAAATTTGTTAAATATTTTTCTCGTTTTTTTTCTTTTTCTTTTTATTGTGTACAGGCATGTAAAAAATAGAATAGAATATTTCTTTAATCATAAAAAATATTAATCTCATTATATTTCACTATATTTTTGTCATTATGCCACAGTTTAGATTATGAATGATATACATAAACGATATTCCGTTCATAAAATGCAAAAGTAGACATTACGTTTCTGAGAGTGTCTTAAGAGCTTGTAATTTTGTAACTGGTCGCGCGGTTATAAACAAAATCTTAGTGTTGAAAACAAATTAGTCACATTCCGCGCACATCCGAGAAACGATAAGATAGAATAATTACCCGCCACGAGATCGCCAAAACCGATGGTCGTGAGCGTTACGAAGGCGTAATAAACCGACTGATCGTAGGACCAGCCCTCGTAATGTGAGAATAAGAACGCCGGGAAGAAGATGAACATGACGAAGCCGGGTGTCAGGTACATGAGAATCTGCGCGGCCAGGCCCACCTTTCGCGTCTCAAACGGCGTTGGTTTCTTAGAGGTGTAATCAGACGATGACTGGCCACTCTTGTAGGATTTGTACTTTTGATGAGCCTTGATAAACACGTGACTGAAAAACTCACCCAACTGCGTTAACAGAATCCCGTTCATCGGGATGCCCACTAGGCCGTAGAAGATCATCAGGATGCGGCTAAGCGTATTTGTGGGTGCTAGATTACCATATCCTGCGTAATAAATTATAAACTTAGAATTTCGACATAATAAAAAATATAGAACAACAGCAAACAAGAAAAGATATTAAAGAAAGATCACAATAATTCAAGAAATCCAATAACATAAAAAAAAATATTTAAAAATTACGTGTAATGAAATTATACATATATATACATATATGCCAATTTAAAAAAATAATTTAGATAACATAATAATATATATTTGAAAAATTCTGATTCTTTCATTAAGACGTCTAAAAAGTGTCTCAATTTTTCAAACATTTTTCTCTTTTAAAAACGTGTTTTAGAAACGTTTCTTAGTCTTCTTTGTGTGGTTCGAGAGATGAATATTAATTAATGTAAACAATAGATTTTGTAATTGCAAATATATAATTGATTCCAGAG